GAGAGAGAGAGAGAGAGAGAGAGCATAGATTACACAATAAAATAAACATACCTTAAAATAGGGTGAGAGGAAGAGAAAGACAAAACTATTACATACGCTGACAAAACATTGTCATAAAAATAGTGATAACTTTCACAACTAAAACGAATGTTAAATAAATGAGAGTTAAATGAGTTAACATTCACTTAACTCGTGATTTTATTTAAATATTAAGTTTCAATAACCAGTATTTTATTGGCAATAGTTATCAGTAATTAATATTCAAATTATTAATTGCCTTCAAATCAAAAACATTACACTCTATTGAATAGATTTTATTCATAATATGAATTTCATAACTATTTTTTGAGTTTTTTTTTTGCACAATTAACATAAAATACAAATAAATTATTATAAACTTCAATCCAAAAGCATTTCTACAAAATATTTAATTAAAATAATTATAAATAATTGTTGACAATATTAAATTCAATTATAAATATAAAAACAATTAATTAAAACACAGATTTAGTAAAACGTTGAGAAATATTTTAGTATATTATTTAAATATGTAATTAAATAATTACACAATTAAATACACATTAAAAATTTAAAGTCTCATTAAAAAAATTTTTAATAATAAAAATCTTATTATAAAACTTATTGTAATAATGAATGCTATTATATAATAAAATACACAATTAGCAAATTAAAAACATATGTATAACACTTAAAACATGATAATAATTGTTATGATTTATAGCATTCAATCGGACTTTGAAACTAATATCGGCTAAAATAGTCGCTGTAATAATTAATGAATTAATTTTAAACACAACAAAAACAATAAACGGGGTTAAAATGAATGATTAGTGTACTGTAGAATATATTGTAATTAAAAAACACAACACATAATATAATTGTCTGATAAGTCATACACTTATTTGTTATGGGGCGACACCACACCCACCATACGGGCCAATCACACACGTTATAAAACACAAACAATAATAAATTTTACGCTTGTAATAATTGATAGAGTGACCAAATGGCACGTGCGCGAGAAAGACAGTTGGGGCACTCATTCAATGTGTGCGATGTTGGACAACGAGAACCTAAGTAGTCCTCGACTTTGCAAACGATAGCAATATATGCTTGAAAGTAGTGTTACCAACTCTGACCATCCTTGACTTTCAAGTCTTGTTTGGCTTTTACCATGACCGGACATAATACACACCACGTCTATGTCGGGTGGGATGTCGTAGAAAACAAGGGTTTGTTTTATGTGTTTGAGCTGAGCCGAGTTCATGCGCTCTTCAGTTCTGACCTGGATGTCTTTTAAACGATTGAGCTTGGTGATTGATTCTAATTCATCATGGCCTTTACGATAATAATCCAAAAATAAATTTGGAAATTTATTTTCAGAAAAATTACTAAATAAGAAATCTTTTTCATCGACAATCGGTTCAATCGATAAGTGTTGTAATTTTTGTAAAATTACTTCACATTCGGGTCTTAGTCTCCAATCCGTCGATCCATTCGTTGACCACTTATTAGCACTCATTTCAACCAATAATTGGTTTATTCCTTGTAATTTATTTTCGAGATTAACGTTATTGTTATATTCTAAATTTAAATTCAACCTAAAATTATAATTATGATTATATTAAGTTAATAGTTAATAAATAGTATATGATATAATAACATGCTTTCCGTCTCTGATATCATGTGAATCAAAACCAAATATTTTCGCTCCAATGAGTGCCAGACTATAGACATCTATTAAATAGTTGTATTCAGTGGTCTGCGCTTCCGTTGCCTGATATTCATTATCTCCGACATCTTTGGTGTGTTTAACACTACTTTGATTGTATTCATCACTCAATACATGCACTTCTTTAGACAAACCGAAGTCACATAACTTTATATATCTATTATAGCGGTTATCGCTGGATATCAACACATTATCGGGTTTGAGGTCTCTGTGAATGATATTATTTTTATGCAAATACTCCACACTTTTCACTAATTGTTCGAATAATTTATATGATATATAATATTCAAATTCCGACATTATTTCCCCAAAAATTTGTTTTTTATTTTGTAAAAGTTGTGCTAAACTTCCGATCAAACAATCCATAAGAATGTATAAACAATTTTTTTCAATCCATGAATAATAGTATTGAATGACATAATCTGAGCGCAATTTTATCAAATTTTGCGTTTCGTTTAAAATGTTTTGTTTTTGCTTTTCATTCCAACCTTAAAATTACATAAATATTTAATCAAAAAATATAATAAAATACTAGATATTTATATACAGTATTAATTAAAATTGTTACCATTTAATGGACATTTTTTAATGGCGTATATCCTTCCAATGTGTTTATCTTTTACTTTATATACTTCACTAAAACTACCCGATCCTAACTTTTTCTGCATTTCATACATTTCTATGTTATTTGTTTCACAATTTGTATCTAAAATAATTTTTAACAAAGAGTTAATATTTAAATATTTATTATGTTTGACTTACCAAAATGTTGTGTTTTATTAAATGTTTGAACACAATTAATTGTATTATAAGTTAATTGATATTTATCAATAAAATATTCATCAATTGTGATATATTTTGTTTCAATAAATAATTTAATATCTTTATTGTATTCAAACACTTTTTCACCGCTAATTCCAACTATAGTATTATGATAACTCATTTGAACAAGATCAGTAAACAACAGATTGGTAATCTTAACAATTTTGCTACTTTCCAAATCATAACAATAAACTTTGCTTTCATTTGATAACATAATTATGTCATCTTTTACTTTACATACAATTCTTATACTATTGACGTTTATTATTAATTGTGGTGTAATTATTGTCATCCAGTGTATTGCATTTCTCCACATAAAAACCTCTCCATTGGATGTAATGCTAAATGAATTTTCTTCACAACACATAATGTCCACAATTTTATATTCATCGGGAAATTGTATTTCAATTGGTTTTTGTTTTTCCAATAACTCTTTGTCCCATTGAAGTACCCGTCCATCGGATGTCAGAGCAATAGCTGTTTCATCAAAACATGATATTTTCTCAATTCGTATATTACGTGAATTATGTAATATTTTGTGAGGCAAATAAGGATCATAAAAGCGATCGGTATAAAACGGCCACAAGTATATCTCATGATCACTATTTACAGCAAGTATATACTCCTCTCCAATGAAAAAGCGTTGAATATTATGATTACTAAATTGTTTAAATTCTACGGGTGTACTATTGGGTTTGGTGGTTTTGCTGCCATATCTACCATATTTACTGCCCAACCCATAGACCCGATCATCATTTGTCACAAACAATATGTAATGTCCAAACATTTCGTACTTGAAAACATAAAATAATTTGATGTTTTGTCTCAAATCTTGACGTATTAGTTTATAAACGTCAAATTTATTCAATATCTCACAATTGTCAGCCATATTTATCATAAGTAATCACACTATCAAACCAATGTTAATATCACAATAAAAATATTATTAGTGACACATTATTATTAGTTATTTAATTTAATGTAAACTTTTATCATTCTATTAACACATTTTTACTAATTAATTAGAAATGTTTATACAATAATAATTAATTAGTAATTGTATAAATTAATAATACAAATACTTTTTATTCGTGTTAGAGACGCATTATTAATGCGGCATTAATATTGTTTACCACGTAAACTTTACGTTGAATTTATAAATGGCATAATGTTTATATAACAGTTGTAAAACTATGTCACAACTACTTTGCCATCTAGTGTTATAATTAATCTACTTGATTACCAATTAATTAAATTACTTGTTACGTATTTACCTTGGCCAAATTGCGCTAGTATTCTGTGTTTACCGATGCACTCGAACTGGTCCGCAAACATTATGGCTATCCTATCGCACAGGATTTTGCATACATCCATGTGTGCGCTTAATATAATACATGACCCGCTATTACTGTATATAATACTGTACTGTATATGGCTTATGGCGATCCACATTTTACGCCGGGCCACCGGAACGACGCCACTCGTGGGCTCGTTCAACAGTACGACAGGTGGCGACCCTATCAGCGCCATAGCCAACGAAAGTTTGCGTTTATTACCGCCCGAATAATTCTTGCACTTGCGTTGCGCGTGATTCTGGAGATTAACCTTTTTAAAACATTTTATTCACCTCGAGTGCTATACTACCGGTGCGTTTACAATACGTTAAATATTGACTTTTGCGTGCATTAATGTATAACTTGTTAATTATTATGATTATTAAAACATACCGTTATGTGTGGGTTATAATAAAATAAACAATTAACTTGGTAAAATAAAAACGTTTGCGTTTGTTAGTTATGAATTTAGATCCTAAACTTCCCCGAGAACACTTTTAGGCCCTAGCCCTCACTTTAATTAGTTATGCTGTTTATAATATTCATATGTGTATTAAAGTACATTATAAATGACGAATATAAGCCCTTTATATT